TACCACAAATTAGGTTTTGTCCTCTTTTTCTCTCACAATTCTTTTTCTTTTGCCTATTCTTTTTCTCTTCCTTTTTTAATTACTGTATAAAACCAATACATTAAAATATCTTAGTTATCGAGATTGTTCACCCAGGGTCTGTTAAGGTCACAAGATGGAGTTGTCCATTTCCCTAATTCTCTGAGGTGGACATTAAGTGTAACTGAATTACTGTGCCCAAATAATTAGTGATACAATTCCTGCAACTGGTTTTATTTCCATATCTCAAGACAAGGTCTTGAAACACAGAAAGATGAGTAAGACTGGGTGGCCTCACCTCATCTAGGAGTGCCTTCACTCGATTGATCTAGGATTTGAGTTCATGCGGAGTGGTACTTGTTGCACATGTGACCAAAACTGGTATATTTTTCTTTTTGTAAAATATAATTTATTTTCCTTATTGTCCTTCTATTGAAGTGTTCCTGAAAATAACTAACCTGGTGTCATGGTATGCCAGAGTGTTATGAGTCAAATGCAACTTTGAGATAAGACAATGCAAAAGCATCCTGAATTCCTCCAATGGACTAATTTATCTTCTTCTATTAAAAAAATAAATACATTAAAAACAAAACAAAAAACACTTCCTTGGCATTTCCCTAGAGTTGCATGGTATTAAGTCCTTCAGTTTTTTCACAGGACATAGCAGAAGCCTGGTGCATTGATTTGTTGGCAAGAAAAACAGTCCAAATGCAGAATTAGCATGTGTCTCTGGCAAAAACCACAGAATTTGACAAGAATAAGTTACGACTGATACCTCAAACCTTGCAGACTAAATAAATGCTGAGGTCATTTTAATAAACACTTTCTTTCTCTTAGACGAATCCTTCAGTATTCCTTTTAGCCCAGCTATTAACTCTTCTGTGGCAACAGCATCTGGAGAGCTCCCATCTGACCTGGGATCAGGCTAAACCAGTGACAGCGGTGACTATTACATTACTGGGGTAAACAGCGGTGGCCTTGCAAAGTCACACACTGGCTCTGGAGGCAGCCGCTCTGAAAGTCCCTCTGGCAAAGGTCAGGAAACCTGCCAGGGCTCCGAGGTTTGACTGAAACCCCCAGGGACGGGGTTGCGGTGATTGCAATATTACTCTAATCACTAAAATAAAAGCTTCTTTTAATCAACAGCTAATCATAGGACTTCATTTGTCTCTAACTTCCTTCAGTTGCTTTGACAGATGAGAGCACAATAATATAAATAAGAAATGACAGTTTACCAAAGAAGGTTAACATAAGGTCGCGACCTTTTTTTATTTGACTTCTGGAGCTTATTCATGTGTGAAAATGCACTTTTGTAGCTGTAGCCTCAGCATCCCTTACAGATCTGGACTTGTGCCAATAATTGAGTTTTGAAATGGTATTTATGTTTGGAAAATATCATTTTGCTTTCTGTGATGTTTGAGTAGAATTGTTTTGCATTAGTATAAAATATAAAATGATAATATCTGTACGTCTCACAGAGTATCACATAAGAAGTCAGTGGTACCTCTGCTTAACAAGTAAGGAGGTATTGCACAAAGGTGAAGCTGATTTGTGCATACGCACAAACACACACACATTTCCTCTCCCTTACTCAGACCAAGATACAGCTTTCTGAGCAAATCCACCCACGGACACTAACCAGACCGCCCCAAAACCACTCAACGCTGGTACAGATGAATAGGGCACAGAATCAGGCCGACAGTCATATACTAATAAGTGTCAAATATTAATTTGTTGTATTATTTGTGCAGTGATTTAAATCCAAATCCCTTCTCATCATTAATTTCCATCAGACACATGAAGAGCAAGAGGTAAGCATGAGTTTTATGTCAAAATCTGTAATGCCTACGCAACTATCTGCCAGAAAATATTTCTCTGTCAGATAAGAAAACTGAAGTTCTGTCCACGAACACTGGAAAGAATCTGCAGTACAACATGCAGATAATTAGTTTTGAAAGGCTAATCAGTTCACCGCTCTAGCTGGCATTTCTATATAGATGTATCTGCCTTCACCTTACTGCAACTTGCCTCTTGATGCGAGTATCCCTTAATGAAGTGAAGTAAGACTTTACATACCACATAACTCTGAATGATATATCCTGCCATAAGAGCCCCCAGTTAGTTAGGAAAGACTCTTACAGGCCTTGGAAGGACTATGGAGCCCACAGCGTGGGATGTCCCAGGCTGTGCCACTCCATCCCCTTCCCTACGTGGCTTGAGTCAGCCGCAGAACCACCCAAGAAAGGGAAGTTGTAGTCAGTGCTGATAGCAATAGCTTATTTTAAGATTATCTCACCTATTTTATGCTGTTGCTTGTTCATATTCATGGAGCCTTGTGTCTTGCAGACACCTTTGACACCCTAGAAGACAGAGATGCTGAGCATCCTCAGCTCACTCTAGCTGTGAAATTAGGCCTTTGGGTCTCCTAAAATTACTCACATAACCCCAGCTATTATTGATCAAATCAGCAGTACACTTCATTATCTTGTTGGATTAGTGAATTTTCAAACACTTTCCCTTCCTTAGCATAAACAGCTACAAATGGCTAAAACTTTTTTTTTTTAAATGCAGTTATTTCCTGACATGTTTCCTTTTTGTCAGAAGGATGCTCTATTTTGTTTCTGAAAAACAAGATCAATCTTTGCACTAATGACTTACTGAATAAAATCAGTATTACTTCCATGGTACTTTCCTAACAATACACCTTATTTGTACCTTGGCTTATAAAAAAACGTGTACACCAATTGATCATTTCAGTCACCAGTGAAATAAAACCAACCATGAGACGGATAATGGCAGCAGAATAATAGTACACATCTATTTAACGCTCAAGTTTAGACTAAGGGGTAACATAAAGCACAATGATGCTATAAAGAAAGAAAGAATGTAACTACCCGGAGCAACTATAAGCCTTATTCCTCCAAAAACGCTGGCTAACCTGAATGAGAAGCTGTTTTACTCTCATCTGCAAAATGACCCCTTTGAGCAACGCAGAGGCATCAATAAAACACCAATTCAGTGTCACGACCCGAAAGGCCAGCACCTTCCAGCAGCGCACACAGTTTTGTTTGGAAGCTCTCTTTTCCCATATATAGTAATCATCCACTAAGTTACTTATATTGTAACATCTGATGGCTAGAATTTGGCTGAAGAAGCCGTCTCGCAAGTCAGTATAGCTAAATGCTCATTGTCATTATCATCTCCACAAAAGTACAGGTGTAATGTAAACTCTATGACTTTAGTGTTTCCAGTTTATTGTAAATTTCCATTTTTGTCCGAAGATTTCAATAAGCATCTTCAAAATGGCTAGTAATATTGTCTCCTGTAATTCCTGGTTAGATAGTATGCAGTACAAGAATCAAATATCTTAAGCTTTGTTTGAGTTTTTAAAGAATGTCAAGATACTAGAATTTAAAGTATATTTTAAGAATAGCAGAATTGTGCAGAAGGAACACTAATTTAACTAACTTATTAACACAAAACTATTTGAACGGAAACAGGACTCTTGCATGCTAAGCAATTTAGGATTACAATCAGTAGGACCCCTGCTTTCAAAAACTTGAGTTTTTAAAAAAATTTTACGCAGATCTGAAAACAGCGAGTAGTCATCAACATAGAGACTTATATGCTGGCTCACGGGCATATTGCCAACTAGTCCCCACAAGAGGAAAGAGAAGACTGAGGTGAAGTAGCAGGAATCTGTGAATCATGCATAGTATTTCTGCCTTGAGCTCTCAAAAGGCCAAAATGAAAGTATGGAGGACCATAATGAAAAACTTCAATCAAAACAAAATAACCATCTACGGCTTATTTACACTGTCAAGTTGGATATCAAATGATAGCTTTCTGTGGTAAATAATTCTACAGTCTTCCAGTGAAAAAAGGAGTGCAGCCAAACAAATTAAAGTTAGGATAAAGAATATGACCACAGCTAAGAAATGCATTGCTTTGTACAAACTTTAAGAAAGGAGTTGAAGGACAATGGTAAAATGAAATCCCAGAAGAAAGGAATTTGTGAGATACTATGCAACAGGAAAAGCCAGAGGAGATGGTTTCTTGTGAAAAGATGATAATACAGTTCCTGAAAACCTACCTAGCACCTTTCATCTTGAGACAATCAAAAAACGTCAATGATATACTTACTGCAGCAATGAAATGCAATCGAGGGTGCAATCCAGGCACACAGCCAGTGCACACAAGATCATATGGCAGCGAACATTCATTACTTGTGTTAGAGTTCAAGAAAAAGGAACTGCTCTGGCCTGAAATACAGTACACCTTGGCTACTTTACACCTGATCTCCTCTACCTTTTGCATCTGATGATGCAAAAAACGTAGTGGCTGTAGGTCAACAGATCAGATGGGCTTGTTTACACCCACTCTCTGTTTACCAGTGCATCTTTAAGAAGTCTATCCATAATTCATTATGTGTTCTAACATAAGCTTATGCAATGTTTAGCTTCTACATAAAGTCAAGCTTTTGCATAAGAACAAATTTTACCCCCCATAATGCACTAACTAGACTTACATTTCTCTTAGGAAGAAGACAAATGGGTTTACGTAACATGTGGTTTTAAATCCTTTTTTATTCAGTTAATCTCTAGCTGTGGAATTGTGATTGAAATGCAAAAATGTATGTGTATTTTCTGATAAAAACCATTTTGTTTTAGAGACAGATGAAATGTTATCAAATACAAACACTTTCTTCAGGTTTTTAAATTGATGATGGAAATTCCATAAGCAGAACATGGCGCAGCCAATCCAAGTTAAGCGATAACATTTTTTTCAGAAAAAGAAAACAAAAACCCAACCCTTTGAAGTGTTCTTACATCTTCATAATCCAGACATGAGAAAATCTGCACTCTTGACAACTCTGAGTATACGCTCCTCAGCTGGCTCCAGATAAAAGCTAACATTTCCTTTTCCTTTCCAATGTCTTCTCTGATTTCTTAATAGCAGTGAGACACAGTACAAAACATTACCTCCACATGACTTTCCATCTTCCTCCAGTTTCTGGCCAGCTGGACATTTGCAGTGGTAGCTGCCAATGGTATTACAGCACTGGTCGTGACATCCACCATTCTCAGTGGTGCACTCATTTACGTCTGTCGGAAGAAAGTATACAGCAGTCAGTAAAGAGCAGGCATTGACCACATTACCTGGTTATTTCAGGACAATCATGTACGATTTTGATGTGACAAAGTGAGAAAGTTACTGAGACGTAAAGCAAGAACCCTGAAGGCAACCACAGGCGCAATGACTCCCAGCTATGTTGCTGTGCCCCCCAACTCAACCAAGAGGTGCAACGATGGGATTATTCCTCCCCCACTTCTGCACAAGGTAAGCTGCAGAGTCCATCCAGCTCAAGCTATAGCTATAGTGGGCTATAGCCCACTCACCAGCTTCCCACTTCTGTGCAACAAGATCAGGAACAATCTTTATACTGTCATTTCCACCAGCTCATTTGTGCATTAGGTTGCTTCTAGAAGTCATGGCAGAGATGAAAAACCTCTGGAAGATGTAAATCCATTAAGGTCCTTCTTTCCTTCGGATATGTGTGCACTAATACCTACACACCTTACATATTCACCTGATCAAGTTTGTGCTTGCCTGCGTGATTTTGAATAGGAAAAATTAGATCTTTACACATAAATGAAGAACATTAAAGAACCACATAAATAAGTAAGTAAATAGACTAGCCAATGGCAGAGAAAAATCAATAGCGAAGACATTTTCTTTTTAACCCGTGTAGTTATATATCCTGCGTAAGGATTTCCGAAGAAATGTGACAGAAATCATCAGGCCAGTAATGCTGTTCTGCTGAACAGGATCAGAGACAACAGATAGCATGGAAGTATTTCCAAACTAGAAAATTTGTCAAATGGGATAGTACATATAACAAAACCAGCAGGTATTTGCTGCACTGATTTCATATACTCTGGAACACATGCTTATGCAATGCTTTCTTGCTTGCTTTGCTCTCTCTGAAGTGTTAATGTCACACACACATAATTCATCGGTGCAGGGGTAAGCAGGGACAGCAACGAACCTGCGTAAGAATAACAGGCTGTGGGTGTATTTTTCTCAATGTTTTTGACAAATGTATTGAACTGGCTTGGTCACAGAGCAGACCTGCTCAGCGTGTTGGTGAGGAGAAAGCCAGAGCTAAGGGGACACACCACGTTCTCAAAGCCTGGCCTGAGGCCACAGGTGATAGATCTCTCATCCCAAGGCCTTTGGCACGGGTAGACATCACACATTACATTCAGGCTAGAGAGCAAGAAAAGCAGGAGGAGGAGGATTAAGCAACAGAAGATAAGCATCATCATGACTGTAAAAATCGCAGGCAGCTACTTCCTATTAGCAGCACTCTGCATCTTTAATGGGGAAATGCGGATTTTTAAAAAACTTCTAATTAGATTCTGGTCAAAAGAAATACAGAGTGCTATAAAGACAAATAAAAAAAAAGAATTTCACATTCATGCAAGAGAGATGAGAGCCTTTCAACTGCAATCCTTAGCTGTTAATGTCTAAGATTTACCAAGGTTTGTGAGTTCTTCGATGAGCTTGAGCTTAACTTTATTAGCTCATTTCTGATCCTGCCTAAAAACCAGAGGTTAAAAGAAATTTTTGGGGAGGTTTCAGACTATTAAAAAGCTAAAAGAAAAGTGTATCATTAAACGCCAACATTTACTAAAGTGCAGCTGAAGAGGCACAAACTCTAAAACCACCCCATTTCTCTATGGCTCTAAATTCAGTGTAATGACCGACACAACAAACCTTTCTTTGTCCCCAGTGATACTGAAAAACACTGGCAAGCTATATAAAAAAAAATTCAGTTGTCTCAGAGCTACACAACAAACCAAATCCTAACTCGTGTGAAGTCAAGGCTCTTCTCCTGATTTCATGGGAACACAATTTAGACAGAAACTTTTCCGAAGAAAAACACTCCCCCCTGCTCCAAAATGCAAAAACAAATCGTACCAAAATAAGACATTCGTCTGTTCACGTCTCTTCAGCAAGAGACGGCGAGAACATATGACAAGCGACAGATTTTAGACATATTCCTCAAAGCGCTGGAAGAAGGCACGCTAGCGCTGAGCATTGTGCAGAAGATCGACAAAACAGGCATGTTCCAAATGATTTACTCCCTCTAACTAGCAGACATCTTGATGTGCCTTGTGGTAATAAACAGTAATGAGCCACATAATAACCCTGCTCCACAGCTTCGACTTCTATTTATACTAACAGTATTGAAAACTAATAAAATCTCTTGCTCTTTTTATTTTTTAAACAAAATAATGGGAAGAACTACTTTATTTTTCTACACTGTGTTTGGTACCTACAATGCTACATGACCTCCTAGCATAAAATATTGCCTAAGTGATGTGGTCTACGATATACAGCCCAATTTATTAACACCAGTGTCTGTATTTTGAACCAAAACATTGGAAGAAAACCTTTCTAGCTGAGGAGCTAATAATTATCCTCTTGATTTCACTAGGGTATAATATATTCGGAAGTGTATAGTGCTATTGCATACTAATGTACAGAATGTTTTTCCTTTTGATTGCAGCGTGTTTCTAGTAGCAATCAGAAATCTTTTTCTTTCTTGTTCAGCATAAAATGCTGTGGTCCACCTATGAATTTTGCCTCCCAAAAAGTAGTGGTGCTATATGACTGATAACCTCATCTTCTTCCAACTCTCTGTCATCTGAATGCTCTGTCCAGGATTTCCTTGTCCCTGTCTTAATACTTGTTTTCATCCTTTGATGAAATGTTTTCATCCATTTTTCTTTGCTGCTTGTTACACCAGAAATACACTGCTTTTTCTATTATATGCAGAAAACCTGACTTTTCATCCACGTCTCTTTAAAACAAATAACCTCATTTAAAGCTAATCAGCATAACTCAGAATTAAATTATAGTTTATTTTAAGACACCAAAATAAGCTTTGTGATACCGCTTTATCCCTATTACACAGCGCTCACATTTGAAGGCATACCCTCCCTAGGTATAAACTATTTAACCTTAGTGTTATAAAAATTTGCTCTCTAAGCATCTGCATCCTTCGCTGTACTGTCTCCTGTACAAGACCTTCTCCATTGCCTGTACCCTGCCAAGTTGTTTTGTACAACCCAGTAAGAAAGGTCAGAAGTTGCCTCAGTCCAAAAGCACAAAAATAAATGATCTGAATGTGAAGTAATAAAGAATCAGTTTTACATTTGTAAAAAGACGGTTCATGTAGCTCTTATAAGCTGCAATCAGCTGTTCTATATTCCTAAAACACAGAGTAGTCGGAATTTTAAAATCCAATTACAGATTTGCCACTATAAAAAAGAGGGGGAAAAAAAACCCAGAACAAAAACAATTCTGTCAAATGATAAATTTCTGTCTGCTTTCTATATTCAATGTCGTTCAAGGTTGCAAATATATTTGCCTTTTGAATAGAAAGAAAAATGACAGAAAATTTCTGACATGTAACAAGTCTGCCAGGTTAGGTCTGACAAAAGTTCAATGTTATCAAGACTATCAATCCATCTGTAATGACATGCTGTAGGCGCTTCAAAAAAATAAATGTGATGTTTGCTACTGCAATGCTTCACATTTATTTATAGAGCCAATGTTGCAACACAAAAACATTATCCGTGGGACATACTCTATGTGAGCTTTCAATCCTGCTATGTGAAGTCTTAAGGAAAAAAAAAATTGAAAAAACCCTCACCTAGATTAACTTGATATTAACTTTATACATGATCTGTCTACCATACGTGCGGAAAAAAAAACCACAGCGTATTTTAAATCCACTAGTATTCAAAAACGTGGACTGTAGACACGTGCCCTATGTCCCGCACTCCCTGCACATGTGGTATTCTAGAACTGCACTACATAAAAAGGTATTCTTTTATCTAAAAATCTCGTCAAATATTTGATATGTAGGGAAGCATGACTTTTTTTCATGAAACGGACCACCTTCGCCTGACTAAATATGCCTAGGAGCTATAAGTTAAATGAAAGAGGACTGATTCCAATCCCTTCACTTCTGTAGTCTTGTTTAATGCTACTCACTCCCTGTCTGAAAATATCACACTGCAGAGGAAGTCCGAGACATCTCTGGCTCCAGGGAAAACAACCCTTCACCAAGTTTTTATGCAAGTCTAGGTGATTTCAGGTTTCCTACAAATAAATGAAAACTTCATATAAAAGCAGACACTGGACAAAGTGTTTTCCATTGATAATTCCAATTTTAAATCTAACAGAAGTGACTTGCATTATTACTAGCTCTCAAATGTAGCAAGCAGATGAAGAAAATAATTTAAAAAAAAATCAGTCTTCTGCTGAAGAGCAGAAATACATTAGGGCAGAAGTCTCCTCTACACACCTCTACGCTGAGCTATTGGTGAGGGCTGCAGCTCTGCAGGTCCTCGGCATGGAGCTGAATTCAGCATCTTTAAAAAGCAGCAAGGGATTAAGCCTGCCCTGACTGCACGACTGCACAGACTGGCTGAAGGAGAAAGAATCTGCACTGAGCAGGAATGACCCTGCAAGGAGAGGCCGTTGTTCTGCAGCAGGAAAACAATGGACTGAATTACCACTTAATTTTGGCAACAATTTGTATGTTTAGATCTATGGGACACACCAGCTAACCCACTGCCTACAGGTTAAAGTATTTTTGAGTATATTTTATCTGTATAACAAGTTTATGCAATAGGTGTTAATATAAAAATTCATTTTTAAAATACCAAAGAGAATCTCATAACTGCAGCCCACTATTTAAAACCTGTTTTCCAAGGTTTCTATATTTATCAGCTGTATGTGAGCAACAACTTTATTTATTTAATGCAACCACATGCAAACTTGCCATTTCAGTGACCAGCCTTTGGGGCTAACCTGTGCTCTGACCCGTAAGCCGCTGACTTCAGTGCATGTCAGAGCTCGCCGGACTTGTAATAAATCACTGAAGTGGAATAAAATCTGTAAAATCATTCACATTGTTATTGCAATACCACATGAACAAAGCCCACCATCATGGAGAGAGGAGGTTATTTTGATTAGTTTAAAAGTGTTCAGCTAACACGCCGTGCTTCAATTAGGGGTCAAAGTA